TTCTTTGAAATCTTCTCTTCAGCCCTCTTACATCATCATTCCTTTCCTTCATTTTGACTGCTCAATTTTGAAGAGTTCTGTTGGCTTAATGATAAGGATTTGCCTTGGTAGCCCAAAGGTCAGTGATTCAAATCAAACAATTGCTCTGTAGGAGAAGGATGGGAAATCTCTAGCTGGAAATCCTTCTGAAAATGACATGGGGAGTCGGTTATGAGTACAACATGTTGAATAGGAAGTTTCTTTTCTGACATTCATTTTGGCCTTTCCTTTCACTTTTCTATTCTTAATTACCTTTTGCTTTCTTCGTGAATAATGTCCTTGATGTCATCTTACAATTTGTTCTGGATCATTAGTGTTTACTACATCAACTATATTTTTGAGGTACATTTTAAATTCAGGTGTGATAAACTCAATTTGGCTGTCATGGACTTTAAAAATGTTCTTCAGTTTCAATTTTCACTTTCGTATGAGTAATTCATGATCTGCTCCACAGTCAGCTAGTTGCTTTCATTTTGCTGTTTATATTATGCCTCTCCAAAGTATCTTTGGACAGATGTAGTCAATTTGATTCCTAGGAATCAAATTGGGTTGGAATCAGTGAGGCTGACTCAGGATAGGGCAGGCTTCAGAGCTGCTGTACATAGGGTCGCTATGGGTGGCAGGCAAGTTGACAGCACATAATATCAAATATATCATCTGCCAACCAAATTATTTTTGTTTTGTAGAAGAAAATTCTTGAATATCCAATAAAAGGAAAATAAATTATTAAACAATAGAATTAATATTTGAAAAAATAACCCTATCTATTTTAAGGTACCAGGAGGTTTCCAGACCTGGTTGGTGAGCTTGGTGCAACCTTGCAAAGTTACTTCCTGGAAGAAATTTTGCAAAAGCATACAACACAGACAGAATGATAATTAAAGAGATAGGAGAGTTTGTTAAGAAAGAAGGACACTCTCAGATGAAGAGAGTAGACACTGTCCCCTTCTGGAGACCTCAGTTAAAAAGGCCATGGTATTTCCTGATTCATCTATAATATTTGCAACTTCTGCACTAGTTGACTGTTTAGTGTTATTTTTTTTATCTTTAGCCAACTAGGTTGATTGTTAGCATGCACTAACAGACATCTAGAACAGTACCCAGACTGGAGATTACCACAACTTCAAACTGGATTCAGAAGAGACTGCGGTACTAGGGGTATTATTGCCAAAGTCAGATGGATCCAGGCTGAGAGCAAAGAATATCAGAAGAATGTATATTGGTGCTTTATTGACTAAGCAAAAGTGTTTGACTGTGGGGATTATAATAAGTTATAGCTAACATTGAGAAGAATGAAATTCGAGAGGACTTAATAGTGCTCATGTGAAACCCATTTCTAGACCAAGAAGCTATTGTACAGACATAGCAGAGGAACACTATATGGTTTGAAATTAAGAAAAATGTGTGTCAGGATTGTATCCTTTCCCCAGACTTTTTCAACCTGTATGCTGAACAAACTATTCAAGAACCTTGACTCTATGAAGAGGAAAGTGGGATCAGGATTGGAGGAAGACTTATCGATAACAGTTGGTATGAGGATGACACAATTTTGTTTGCTGAAAGTAAGGAGGACTTCAAACACTGCAGAAGAGCATCCGTTGCAGGCTTCAATATGGATTGCATCTCAACATCAAGGAAATACATTTTTTAAACCATTGGACTAACACACAATTATCATGATAGATAGAGAAAAGATTAAAACTGTCAATGACTTCACCTTACTTGGATTCACAGCCAGTACCCTTGGTACTAGCAGTCAGGAGATCAGGAGGCGTAGCGCACTGGGAAAGTCTTCTATCATGGATTTCTGCAAAATACCGAGAAACAATGATGCCCATTTGAGGATTAAAGTGTACCTAAGAAATCAGTGATGTTATTTTGAGAACTGAATTGAACCTAATACAGACAATGGTCTTTTCAATCACTTGCTAAGCATCTGAGCGCTGGATAGTGAGTAAGGATGACAGAAGAAAAAAATTGATACTTTTGAGTTGCGGTGCTGGAGGGAATACAGACTATCCAATGGACTGCCAATGGAACAAACAGATATGTCTTGAAGAAGATGAAGCCAGATTGCTCCTTGGAAGCAAAGGTGGCAAAGCTTTTTTTCCTGTGTACTTTGGGCATGTTGCTAGGAGATACAATTCCTTAAAGAACATCATGCTTGCAAAGGTGAAGGGATGGTGAAAGAGGAATGCCTTCAACCAGATGGACTGACCCAATGAGTGCAGCAATAGGCTAGGGGGTGTCAAGAGATTGTGAAGTTGATACAGGACGGGACATGGTTCAGACCTGATATTTTTTGGGTCATTATGAATCATATTCAATTCTATGACACTTAATATTAATAGCAATTTACTCCACCTGCTGCTGTTTTGTGTTATTTCCTGGCTCCTCTCCAGAGTCTTTTCACCACCCTCTCTTTGTTCTTTCTCTAGTCACTATCATTCTTTAAGTTAGTCTTATTTTTGAGCCTATTAGTGCCCAAAATAACAATCCACATCCTTTCCTCTAGTCGGTTTCAGTGCAATAAACTCTGTGGTGAGCGTGCTAATTCTCTCACACAGTTTACCTTCATTACTTCATTTTCAGTCTAATTTCCAATGGCATTTTACATATTTCTTCTGAAGCTTTCTTAAATCTTTTCAAAAGTCACCTTTGATTAGATGCTCAAAGGTGGAGGACTGAGGAACAGCAAAACTCAATTCAATCTGGAACTTGCCTAGAGTTAAAACCCCATTTCTCTTTTTATTCTTAGGTCATTTTTTAAAGAACATATCTCTGATTTTTACTTACTGAAGATATTTTTGTAGCTTTATGTACATTATTAAAAATCTACCTAAACTTGTTATTTTTTTCTCTTCATAATATTCTTACGTACTCTTATAACCTTTGGTTATTGGATCTAAATTACAAATGCTTATTTTGAATTGAGCTTCTGCTTCTTTTATGTCTCTTAAGAAAATTTGAAAGAAAAAAGCAGCAACTACCATGTTGAATATTTTAATAGTGAATTAGATAACATTAAACTCAAAATTTGTAATTTGAAATGTCTAAATTCAAAGAACTCTTATTTGAGCTTGCTTTTATGCTTAAACGTTCTATTCATTTATAGGACTTTGTGATATGGGGGACGATTTAAAAAAGAAAATACATGTACCATTATAGCACTTTTACTTGAAAAAATATAAAAATATTAAACATCTCATGTATTTGAGTGTGTTGTTAGGAGGAGTCAATCAGATATGCTTAGAAATGTGGAGGCTCAGTGTAAGAAGAGGAAAACTCTCAAGGAGATGAACTGACATTATGACTGTGACAATGAGCTCAAGTGCATCAGAGTTGATGAGAATGGCACAGGATAGGGTCAAGTTCAGATCTATTCATACGATTTCTGTGAACTACACTTGACTCAATGGTACATAACAACAAAAGTGAAAGATATCTTTATATCACCTGTGTGTTATTTTTAATAACACATATGGAGAGAGGTGAATATAATCACAAATGTTATAGACATAGATGGTAACACTGGTGTCTTAGTAAATGTGTAGAGATCATGGTTATATCCTCTTCCATTTTTCTCTTAGACCGCAGTTTAAGAAACACTAACTCAGCATCCAAAGATATTTCTCTTCTCTTTGGCCTTCTTCCTTAGTACTATTTAAGTATGTGTTATTTGAATCTAAACAGCACAAAATTGATGTTTCAAAGAAAGTAACTTTTTTTCTCCAAAACGTCTCTATTATGAAATATCAAATGTGTAACCATTATTGTTTGGTGTTATTGTGTTGACTATGACTCACAGTGACCCTCAGAACAAAATATCTGAACCTTATGCTATCTTGTGCCGTTCTCATGATTTCTGATTGTTCGAGTCCATTGTTACAGTCGGTGTATTACTCCATCTTTTTGGAGGTTGTCTTCTCTTTCTCTCAGTCTCCGCGTTTCCCAGCATGATGTGCTTTCCAACTGGCAGCTCTTGACAATGTGCCCAAAGTTTACAAGACACAGTGCAACCTTGCTTCTAAGGAATGTCCTGGTTACTTACTCCAAAACAGACTTGTCCTGTGCGTGGCTGCTAATTTTACAGCTTTTACATGTGTATTCTTGCTTGTTCATACTTTTGTCTTATGAATACAGCATTAGTCTGTCATATTTTTTGTACTGAGATGACTTTCAAAATGAAATTATCCCTCATGTTGAGATATAAAATATAGAGCCTAAATAAAAGCAATCTATTTTTATGTGAATCTCAAAGTATAAAAGTTGATTTGACCAAGAGTTTGTCTGAGTAACGTTGAGTAACTGATTCAAACTCCATTTGCTAACATGAAATTCTCTAGTACATATATCTGAAAATACTATTTTTTGTTTGTTTTCTAACTCTAGCCTTCATTTAAGATGAAGATGTAAAATGTTTTCTAGAATAATTCACCTGTGTTTTTTATTCAGACTTTTGCTTCCTAACTTCAAGTTATCTAGAGACACTATTCCCTTGATATTTATGAGTAACTTATCTCTATAACAACAATTATTTAACATGAATATAGTTAAGATATCTGTATTTTATTTTGGAAAATAATCCATAAAAATGAATTCAAAATAATGGAATCCAAGCTTTACTAATAATTGATTTTTATGTGTACTGATATATTTGGAACTGTACTTTTTGCTTTAATGTCTATGCCTTATCTTGGAATTAATCAAAAATAAGATGAGTCCTTGATAGACATGAAGCAGAAGAAAAGGTTACTACAACATGAGCAATAAGAAAAAAGGTGACTGTGGAATTATTTTTTTTTTACTTTTCTATTAAGATTTTGCAACAAAGCATTGAAAAAAATTAAATGAAACTTTAAAAAATTTCTTCTGATAAGTAATTATATGAACTAAAATGTAATGTGAGATTATCCCATTAATGAGTGTATCTTTTCTCTTTTTCTCTCTTCCTGGTAAAGCTCCATTCCGACTTAGACAAGGGAGAGGGCACTGTTAAATACACCCTCTCAGGCGATGGAGCTGGCACTGTTTTTACCATTGATGAAACCACAGGAGACATTCATGCCATAAGGAGCTTGGATAGAGAAGAAAAACCTTTCTACACCCTTCGTGCCCAGGCCGTGGACATAGACACAAGGAAGCCCCTGGAGCCTGAATCAGAATTCATCATCAAAGTGCAGGATATTAATGATAATGAACCAAAGTTCTTGGATGGCCCTTACGTTGCCAGTGTCCCAGAAATGTCTCCTGTGGGTGAGTACGTGAATTAAAATTCCATCACATGATGTAAGACTTTTAAAGCAAGTATTCTTTTCAAGTTTAGGCCCACATCTAACATTGAACTTGCAGCCTGCAAAATTACATACTCCTTACATGTTTTGGTGTGTTGTTTGTTTGTTTGCTTTCCCTATTTAGCATTTTCTTTGTCTTCCAATCTTAGATCAATCACTAGGATCTATGTTTTACCATTTTCTCCAATCTGTAGATTTCCCTATATACGTAGAATCCTTTTGCATTTTAATTGCAAAATTCAATTTGTATTTAAATTGAATCTCATTTTGATTCTGTGCACCTACAAAATGCTAGACATCATACAAACTAGATAGCAATTAATGACTCGATGAAAAGAATGCAATGTATCACATAGGAGTCTAAAGGCAGCTCTCAAAGGGGTATGTTGACTATTTGTAGCTGTTGCTAGAGATTCAAGGAGGATACTACTCTTTTCTTTGTATCCATAGTAATTCATTAGAATGATGTTATTAATTTGGAATGTGAATATCATCATTTCTATGGAAAAACATTACAATTACACTGTATTATCACTATCTTTCTTACTAACTGTAATTTTAATATAATGTTCAACTATCAAATTCTCATAATTACATGTAAAGGATTGCTGGTAGCCTGGTGGTAAGAAACTGTCCTGCAGTCCCAAAGCAATGGGATTCAAATCCATCAGTTACTCTGAGGGAGAAGAATTAGCAATTTCTCTCTTGTGATTTGCTGCCTGTGAAATCCCACTGAAGGATCAGTTATGAGTTGGTTCTGACTCAACTGCACAAAACAATAATCCTAGGGATGTACAAAGAAAGCTGGTGGTGCATTTGCTGAAGCACTTAGCTATTATCTGAATAGTCAAGGATTCTAATTGGTCTGTTGAACTGATGGATAATGGATACCACAGTCCAATTCTACAAAGATTTTCAGGCATGGACATCCTACAGAGCAGATCTACCTAGTCTTGTAGCTTAGCTGTAACTCTAGACTGACTTTATAGCTGTGGCTCTGGTATTGATGTTGGTTTTGATTGATTTGTGTTTTAAATTTTTTAAAAAAATAATAGATGTTAAAAGAGTTGAGAAGCTAAAACATACAGGCTTTGACACTAATTTGAAATATAATTTTATCCCTTTATTTTGATTGTGTATTCCTTAAGTTGTATAAAAATAAGTTCTTATATTCATCATATTTTTAGTTAAAGAAAATAATCACTGCTTTATACAACTTAAAGACTGTAGGTGACGAATTGTCCAATTTTGCCAACATATAGCATTCCTTAGAAGGCTTAAGCTTCACCTATAACCTTCTGGGATATGCAATAAATATTGCACAAACTACCCTGAGGGTAGAAGCAGATTAGTGATTGTAGAAGTTGCCATATGAATTTAGCACATATGCATTTGGAGTTGTGCCTATGACCTTATCAGCTATGCAAAGACAATATTCTCCTCTTGACCAAAGAAATAAGCTAAGAGTATTTCACTTAACTTTAAAGTTTCAGTGCTCATTCTTAGGGATACAAATCTACTGTTCTGCTTCTACTACAATTTTTAGAGTTGTTTTGAGTATTTTCTCTCATGGAACAATTCCTAGAGATTTAGAAACCCAGGTGAGCAGGGGTATGTTTCATCAGTAAATATAAAAATGAAGATCTTTGTTAAAATGTTGTCTTGATCTTAGTATATGAAAGAAGCTACAGTTTGCAAGAAACACATAAGAATTTTTAAAAGATAATATTTAGTACATCAATGAGTTAATTTGTGTTTCATAAAATAAACTGTATAATTAGCATAGATGCTTGAGATTACTATCATTTTTGCATTTGCTATTGTTGTTGCTCTTAGGTGCCATCAAATTGATAAAGACTCACAGCAATCATTTAAACAGACCAGAGTGTACCCTGAGTAATCGCCACTATATCTGTCATGTTTGAGATAATTATTAAAGTTATGCTGTCAATCCATTTTCAGAGACCCTTCTTCTCTTTACCTAAACCTTCACCTTTATCAGAATAATATCTTTTCCAAGGACGGGCCACTCATCAAAACATGCTCTAAGGATGTGAGACAAAGTATCACCACTCTTGACTTCAAGGAATATTTAGTTACACTTCCTTAAGCTAGACTTATTTGTTCTTTATGCATAATATGATATTTTCAGTCCTTTTCTTCAACACCACAATTCAAAGTTACTGATTATTCTTCCATTATCTTTATTCATTGAGATAGTCTGCTGTCAGAGACCTCTCCAAAGTACTGAAGAGCAGTGATGTAAATCTGGAGACTAAGGTGCAACTGATACAGGCCATGGTCTTTGCAATTATTTGTTATGTATCAGAGAGTTGGACAGTGACTATGGATGATAGAAGGAGAGTTGAAAAAAAAAACTAAAAAAATTAAAAAGAAGGAGAGTTGATGCCTTTGAGCTGTGGTGCTGGAGAAGAGTGTTGAATATATCATGGACTGCTAGGAGAACAAACAAGTTCGTCCTGAAGAAGGTGAAGCTAGGCTGCTCCTTGGAGGCAAGGATTCTGAAGCTTCATCTGACATAGTTTGGACATGTTGCAAGGCAGAATCAGTCCTTCGGGAAGGACGTCATGCTTGGGAGGATGGAGGAACAGTATAGGAGAGGAAGGGCCTCGATGATAAGGACTGATTAAATCACTGGGGTAATGCATATAGGTATGTCAGAGAAAATAAGATTGGGAAATTATGGAGCAGGGTTTAGGGCTGTTGTACATAGGGTCGCTGTGAGTTGCAGGTGACTTGATGGCACATAACAAAAACAACAATCTTTATTCATTATCCAACTGTTAGATGCATAAGAAATGTTTGAAAATGCCATAGTTTGTATCAAGTTCACTGTAGTCTTTAAATTGACACCCCGATCATTGGCATTGTAAAGAGGATCTTGACAACAGATTTTGCCAATGCAACACATTTTTTGATTTCTTAACTGTTGCTTCCCTGAGTGGTGATTGTAAATCTAAGTACAAAGAAATCCTTGACAGCTTCAATCCTTTCTCCATCTGTCATGCTGAGGATGCTTTTTGGTCATATGGTGAGGTTCTCTGTTTTGAGAAGTGATCTAATTTGAAGGCTTTCATCTTTGAAATTATTCAAGGCCTTCCTTTCTGCAAGTAAGGTTGTGTCATTTGCATACCTCAGGTTGTTTATAAGTCTTCCTCCAATTCTGATACCACGTTCTTCTTCACAGAGCCCAGCCTCACTAATGACTTTATCTGCACACAGATTGAATAGACATGGGAAGAGTATGTAACTGTGACATACACCTTTCTTGATTTTCTATTGTGCAGTGTTCTCCTGCTCTCTTTGGACTAAAGCCTCTGAGTCTAATTATAGGCTTTGCATGAGCACAATTGAGTATTCTGGAATTCTCATTCTCTCCATATTATTTGCAACTTCTTATAACTAACTATTGACTTGTGTTAATGTTATGATTAACTTTGTTAATTGTAATTGTTAATGTTATGATTAACATTGCAGGAGTAGCTTCCACTTCCTAAACAACATGCCCCTGGAAACTCGGTGAACTTTGAAAAACGATGATAGTTGTAGAGGGGCTTCAGGTCTTTTGTTCATAGTGTCACTATGATCCATGCTCGACTCTACAACAATCAACAACAAAATTAACATTGACTAACAATTGACTAACAAAGAGCATCCCATGGACTGCTAGGCAAACAAATGTGTGTGTGTGTGTGTGTATATTGTTGTTGTGTTGATCACCTTCGAGTTGAGCAGCATTCATTGTGACCCTGTGAACAAAAGGCCTGAAAGCCTTCTATTGACATTTATAAAAATTCTTAGAGTGTCTAGAGGCTTGGTGTTTAGGAAGTGGGTGCCACTCCTGCTTTCAATCTCTCTCTCTATCTTAGAGAAGGTGCAGCTAGTATTTTCCTTAGAGGAGAAAATGATGAAACTTCTTCTCATATACTATGGGTATGTAGTGAGAAGATCCAGTTCTTGGAGAAAGATTTCATATTTGGAAAGGTTGAGGGTCAGTGAAAAAGAGGAAGACTATCAATAAGATGATTGACACAGTGTTTGGGGCAACAGACTCAAGTATACAGGATTGATGAGGATGGTGTAGAGCTGGGTTTGGGCCTACTGTTCATAGGTTCTCTAACAATTCAAAGAATCTGCTTCTCAACTCCATATTCATTCTGCTTTGCTTGATTGGCTGTTGCTGTGGTTGTTATTGACTACCAATGAATTGAGCACAACTCATCATGACCCTATGAATAAAAGATCTGAAGCTTTTCTATAACTATCATTTCTTAAAGTTCATAGAGTTTCCAGAGGCATGTTGTTAAAGGTAGTAGATGCCACTCCTGCTTCCAAACCTGCCTTAAACTGGGAGCTACATCAAACATTGTCCACTATGGGTAACCGTTATGCCAGTAGACACCCCAATTGCATAAGGTTCAGCATCGCAGCAACCCCAGGTTACCTCAGTATAGCAAATTGACTGAAGAGTGCTGTATCACTTAGAAGAATATTCCTACAAAATATAATAATAACTGACTTTTAAATGCAAAGGCCCTCCCCATGTTGTGTTGACTGTAAATAAGAGGTGTAAATAAAAAATAAAACATTAGTGTTGTTATTATGTGCCATTGAGTCACCTGCAACCCAAAATGACCCTATGTATAGCAGTTCTGAATCCTTCTTTGTCCTGAGCCAGTCTCACTAATTCTGACTCAGCAACCCTCATTTCTCCAGTTACTATTAATTATACAAGTAAGATATTAATTGTATAAGTAAGATAAAGTCATTGACAGTTTCAGACAGTTCTGGATTTATCTTAATGTTACCTATCAGTCCTAACACAAGGATCTTTGTTTTCTTAACATTGAGATGCAATCCATATTGAAGAATGCTGTGTTTAACTTGCTGCATCAAGTGATTCAAGTCCTCCTCACTGTCCTCTAGCAAGGTTGCATCATC